TGGCTCAGTCAGTTAAGTGTCTGAGTTTGGATCAGGTCATAAGCTCATGGTTCATGAGTTTGAGCCCCACATTGGGCTCTCCGCTGTCAGTGCACGGCCCATTTTGGATCCTCTGTCTTCCTCTCTCTGCCTCTCCCACACTTGCATGAGCCCTCTCTCTCAAAAATAAACATTAAAAAAAATCCTTTGCATCAGAGTAACAATTTATTATTTATATAAACAATAACTATTGTTTACATAAATAATATTCATTTTTATTTATTAAAAATTTACTTCAATAATTCTATCATGTAAATCAGCTTATCTCTCAAATTATTTACAACATAGGCAGTTAGTTAATCCAAGGAGACTTCAATTCTTTTATGGTAATATTAATGCTGAAATGGCAATTATTTCACTCTTATTTTAAGTTTATTTATTTTGAGAGAGAAAGCGAGCACACAAGTGGGGGAGGGGCAGAGAGAGAGAGAAAAGGAGAGAGAGAGAATCCCAAGCAGGTTCCACAATGCTAGCACAGAGCCCTATGTGGGGCTCGAACCCATGAACCTCGAGATCATTACCTGAGCTGAAGTTAGACATTTAACAGACTGAGCCACCTAGGTGTCCCTCACTCTTATTTTTTTTTTAATCTTTATTTATTTTTGAAAGAGAAAGAGAGAGAGATGGAGAGAACGAGTGGGGGAGGGGCAGACAGAGACAGGGGACAGAGGATCCGAAGCCAGTTCTATGCTGACAGCAGCATGCCCAATGCAGGGCTTGAACTCAAACCGAGAGATCATGACCTGAGCCGAAGTTAGACCCTCAACCCACTAAGCCACCCAAGCGCTCCTTCACTCTTATTTTTATTTGGATTGCTTCATTATCCCACAATAGCCAAACTGAAAACAGTTAATCCTTCCAGATTTGATGTCTGGGTGTTTTGAGTTTAACAAGTCATTAGGTCATGGTTTTCATTCCATTCAGGTAGCTGAATGGACAGATTTGTGCTGAATGGCAGCTTACATCCTCCCATTAATATGTTTCTTCTAGGCAGGGGCACCTGGGTGGCTCGGTCAGTTAAGCGTCTGACTTTGGCTCAGGTCATGATCTCATGGCTGGTGAGTTTGAGCCCCACATTGGGCTCTGTGCTGACTACTTGGAGCCTGGAGCCTGCTGAAGATTCTGTGTCTCTCGCTCGCTCTCTCTCTTTGCTCCTGTCCTGCTCACGCTCTGTCTCTCTCTCTCAAAAATAAATAAACATTAAAAAAATTTTTAACTATTTTTATTCTAGGCAGGATTGCCAGATCTCAAATGGTTGTATCCCACCCTAGATAGTTCTTTAATTTTGGCATTTCCTTCTAGGGCAGGTGTTCTCAAACTTTAGGGACACATCAGAATCACTGAAGAAGTAGGAAAGAACGCAGAAGCCCCTAGGCCATTGAGTGAAGAAAGGATCTAAGCATTTGTGTTGACAGCAAGTTGCCTAAGTCATTTTGAAATGACATGGTTTGAGTACCTCGGCTCTGTGAGGATTACAAAGTAAGAATGAGGATTAAATGAGTGAAAACACATAGAATTTTTTTTTTTTCAACGTTTATTTATTTTTGGGACAGAGAGAGACAGAGCATGAACGGGGGAGGGGCAGAGAGAGAGGGAGACACAGAATCGGAAACAGGCTCCAGGCTCTGAGCCATCAGCCCAGAGCCCGACGTGGGGCTCGAACTCACAGACCGCGAGATCGTGACCTGGCTGAAGTCGGACGCTTAACCGACTGCGCCACCCAGGCGCCCCAGGGAGATTCTTTTATAAAGTGAAGTCACAGACAAGGATGAACTTCTATCATCAGGCCAACTTCCTCTATAGACAGTGATTCCATTTCCTGTCGGGTACTTGAGTTCCTAGCGTTAGAAACATGCTGAATGAGGGGCGCCGGGGTGGCTCAGCCTGTTAAGTGCCTGACTTTGGCTCAGGTCATGATCTCGTGATTTGTGAGTTCCAGCCCCGCATCGGGCTCTGTGTTGTCTCTCTCTGCTTCTTCCCCACTCACACTCTTGTCTTCGTCTCTCTCTCTAAAAAATAAACACTAAAAAAACAAAACAAAACAAAAACAGATAGAAAGAAATATGCCAAATGGGAAAGAGCTGAATTTCTGAGGCTTGGAAAGGAACTTCAGGACTACAAAAGTGGTTTGCATTGCATTGCCAGAGATACATAGTTTCATTGTTGACTAGACACCCAATTACAGTCATCAACTGTGAAGTGACACCATATGAAAGAATTCAAAACCAGCCTGACTCCTGAAGGTCAGTGGAGAGAATGTCAGATATCCTGAATATACGTCTTTCTACCTCACACGTTCTCCATCTGCCCCTTTCCTTTCTTCTTCTTTTTAAAAAATGTTTATTTATTTTTGAAAGAGAGAGAGAGAGAGAGAGCACAAGCAGGGGAGGGGCAGAGAGAGAGAGAGAGGGAAACACAGAATCCGAAGCAGCCTCCAGGCTCTGAGCTGTCAGTGCAGAGTCTGATGCAGGGCTCGAACCCACAAACTGTGAGATCATGACCTGAGCTGGAGTCGGACACTTAACTGACTGAGCCACCCAGGCGCCCCCCTCCATCTGCCCCTTTCTTTTCTTAAGGACCCAGTTCTGGCGTCCAGCCTGCACAAAAGTCCCAAACCCAGAACATAATTCCCAAGCCCGGGGTGATATACTTGGCTGTTGTTGGCCAAGGATAGCCACTGATAAAAAAGAGAAGTCAACACTTAATCCTATGACCACCTCTGACCCCCTAAATTCTCACAATTGACTCCATTCCTTTCATGTGGTCCTCGATTTCCTTGATTCTTCCCTTGCCCCTTCCCCTATTGGCTGAGCGAGCACTGACTGACCATCACAGCTTTGATGTGATGTGTGAGGAGAGGGTTGGGAAAAAGAAGAAAGACTCAGGGCCACAGTTACTTCCTCAGTAGAAGCTGCTGGAGGTGGGAGTATTTGGCCCCACTGGCAGAGACTATGTGATCCATGGATACTGATTAGTCAATTCCACAAGGGGAATTCAGAGAAAAATTTTGCTCAGCAGGAGGTCAAGCAGAGGGGAGTTAAGAGAGACCTTGCACAATATTTGTAGTTAAATTATAATCTTCTGGGAAGAGTCTTCATCTATTGTAGATAGCGTTCCTTCCCTGGATTCAGGGGAGGGGGCGGGGGAAGCAGAGTAGTGTGTCAGTAGGAATATTCACTTTCACTGTGTATATATATATATGCGTCAATTCAAAATAGTCATAGAAATATCATTTTAATTTGTCACTTACAAAATTAAATTCATGAAATCACTAGTGTAATAAAAATAGATGATAGAACTAGAACAAAAAAGCAAAACAGTAAGAGAAAGGAGACAGGGAAGAACTGGGAATCACACGGAAAATAAAATGATTTTATTTATTTATTTATTTATTTATTTATTTATTTATTTATAAAGGTTTATTTGAGAGGGAGAGAGAGAGAGTGGAAGGGACAGAGAGAAAGGGGAACAGAGAGAATCCCAAGCAGGCTCTGTTCCATCAGCACAGAGCCCGATGCAGGGCTCGAGCCCATGAGAACTGTGAGATCATGACCTGAGGCAAAGTTAGACACTTAACCCACCAAGCCATCCAGATGCCACCATAAAATGATTTTAAGTAAGAGACAGTAAGTATATCAATAGATACATGGCAATTTCTTCCATCAATTTCTTTTCATCGTCGTCATATAGATTTCAGTGCACAGGTCTTTCACCTCCTCGGTTAAATTTATTCTTAGGTATTTTATTCTTTTTGATGCAATTTAAACTGTAATACTATTTAAAGAACTATTAAATTTAAAATTAAATAACGTATTAATAATTTCAAATAAGGAGAACTGACATTTTTACCATGTTTGAACACCTTAACTGACCTGTCATTTTTTATTTTTATTTTTTTATTTATTTTTTATTTTTTATTAAAAAATTTTTTTTAACATTTATTTATTTTTGAGACAGAGAGAGACAGAGCGTGAACAGGGGAGGGTCAGAGAGAGAGGGAGACACAGAATCCGAAACAGGCTCCAGGCTCTGAGCAGTCAGCACAGAGCCCGATGCGGGGCTTGAACTCACAGACCGCGAGATCATGACCTGAGCTGAAGTCGGACGCTTAACCGACTGAGCCACCCAGGCGCCCCTGACCTGGCATTTTTTAAAAAACAAATGTTTGGCTTTCTTGGCCTGTGCTACATGCTCACTCTGAAACCTCCGTCACCATCCTTTCTTACTTCATAGTCTGCTTCTCTCCTCACCACTTGACAATCTAAACACACAGGATTTCTCCCAGTCCTTTGAGGCTCCACGGGATCTTTTCAGGTGATTTTCTTTCTGTAAGAAAGAACTGGACTGGACCCAATTATGTTTCCAAAATATGTTTAAAGAATACTTTAAAGAATGTTTAAATACTTCCATGTATTTTCATAGGACCCAAGGTGAGAGATTTCCCCAAATTCCTTAAACTTAGAAATGTCCTCCATTTACACTATTTCAAAATTCTCTGCACTTCTCTGAAGATCCTAAAACAGAGAGAGTAATATTTGTATACTTAAGTATGTGATGTTCATTTTTACCTCTATTATAAGACCACTGGCTATTACTGGCCTTGTTTGCCATGACATTGTCTGTCGCACAATAGTTAATAAAATGCTAACAAATGTTTATATATTTTTTAATGTGTTTTTTTTTTTTTTTTTTGAGAGAGAGAGTGAGAGACAGAGCTCAAGCAGGGGAGGGGCAGAGAGACAGGGAGACACAGAATCTGAGAAGCAGGCTCCAGGCTCAGAGCATCAGCACAGAGCCCAATGCGGGGCTCGAACTCACGGACTGTGAGATCATGACTTGAGCCAAAGTTGCACGCTTAACCGACTGAGCCACCCAGGCACCCCAAGGTTAACAAATGTGCAAATAAATGATTAAATCCCATTAGAAATCTCATAGCACTGAAGCCAGATTGGGACAACAATTCACCTTGCCCTACAGACAAAGCAGAATTGAGAGACTCGAGTGTCACTGACCATGAGCACAAAGGGGCTGAACGCTGGAAAACACGAGGAGACAAACCCAGTGCTGTTCACCATCCACTGGCCTGGATTTGCAACCAGAGTCATCCAAACAGTTAAAATAGCATAGATTGAATAAAAGGTAACCAAGAAACTCACCAGGACCAAGATGGTGTGTGTGGCTCTGGCCTCGTGGGAAGATCTGGGGGAAAGGCTGTTGCTGTGAATGTGTTGGGCTTGCTGCTTGTGCTTGAGCAGGACAAAGACCATGGAGCCACTGACCCAGACCATGAAGCTCAAACCCATATAAAAATATATGACTGCAAATAATATGTTAAATCTCCCTACCCCATTCCAGGAACTTTATCCATTTCTTGTCACACTAAGGTTTTTGTTATTGGATGGACCGTTTACTATTAGAGGAATAAATGAATTTATCCAGAGATGTAGGGTCCAGCAGAGGAAACAGCAGAAGCCAAGGAACTTTGGGGATCTAATCTTGAGCTCCATCCACCTACACATACTAGGGTTCAGCTTAAGACCTTGGAAGTCATTGAGGAGACATATAGTGCTGGAGGAAACCCCTGTGCTCACTCTGTAATAATAAAATACAAGTTTATATGCAGCAGCACCCAGGAAATTTTGGGATCCAAAAGCCAACACTGTTTGAGGGATCCCTTTGGAGAAAAGGATGATGGAGTTGGCTAGGACCAGCTGGTTGAAAATCAGGTCTGTGGGTCTCAATTTGTGTCCAGTGAGCAAAGAGAAGGTATAAAGACCAAGGAGGGATGAATTTCCTAGGATCCCATCTGCAGTCTGAGTGAGGAAGATATTCCCCAATTCCAATGTGCCAACACCTATTGCATCAATATCTAGGGATGGATCTTAATTGAAGTCAGAAGAATGAAAGCAAAAACAGTAGCAATAAATGCCTTGCCAACACTATGCAGAGTACTTTTCATCATTTATCCTAAAACTTATTTCTCACTTTAAGTAGGTATTAACATTTTATGCTTTGTGTGTATGTGTGTGTGCGTGCATCAGCATGCAATTAACTGATGAACTAGATTAGAAATAGCCTCTTGTAATCATCAAACTTGCTAAGAGATTCTAACTTAATTATTCTAATGACTAAAATGAAAGAATAATGGTGCAACACGATAGAGGTGCCCATTACCACTACAGTGGCAATCACATTACAATATACAAATGTATCAAATTAACATGTCACACACATTAACTTGCACAATGTCATATGTCAGACACATTTCAATGAAAAAATAAAATCCATTAAAATAGAAAGAGAAAGAAAACTCTGCCGAGTGAGCACAAATGAACAAATTTTTTAAGAGAGAGAGAGAGAGAGCGCGGGAGCAGGGGAGAGGCAGAGAGAGAGAGAGGTAGACACAGACTCCGAAGTAGGCTCCAGGCTCTGAACCATCAACACAGAGCCGGACATGGGGCTTGAACTCACAAACTGTGAGATCATGACCCGAGCCGAAGTCAGACGCCTAACCGACTGAGCCACCCAGGGACCCCAGTAATAAAAACACTTTTAAAAATTAAAAAAAATAAAATAAAAGGCAGAACTGATTCTATGGAGTTTTCTCCAGGATATATTCTTAAGGGAAAAAGTCATAGTTCAGAACAGTGTGCAAAGTATGCTATATTTTTTCAACCAAGTAGGAAATTTTAAATAAAGGAAGAATGTAAACAGGGTGGAGAAGCAGAAATGAAAGCTTATGAAAGTGTCCTGCATTTTATCTTACACTTCATGTACAAATTTAAATATTTTTACATTGTTTTTATTCAATGTCAAATCAAAATGATTATCTAAAAATCCATAAAATGAGGGGCACCTGGGTGGCTCAGGTGGTTGGGCCTCCGATTTCAGCTCAGGTCACAATATCATGGCTCACGAGGTCAAGCCCCTCAGCAGGCTCTTTGTTAACAGCTAAGAGCCTGGGGCCTGCTTCGGATTCTGTGTCTCCCTCTCTCTCTGCCCCTCCCCCACTCATGCTCTCTCTCAAAAATAAATAAACATTAATATAATTAATGTTATTATTAATATTATTAATACATAATAATATTAATAAAATAATAAAAATCCATAAAATGAGAGGCAAAATGAAAGAAAAAGTGAGCTTTATTGTGTGTTGGACTTGTGGCCGAACCAGACAAAGAAAAAGCTTTCAAATGGCTTTAAATCCCAGAGACACACACACATACACACATGCATGCACACACGAATCACCTGAGTAAAAAAAGTGAAATCTGAATAAGATCAGAGCATACTACCATTGTTATGCAAAATGCTACCATTGGAGGAAACAGTAAAGTGTACCTGATCTCTCTGTATTATTTCTTACAACTGTACGTGTATGACGAGTTATTTCTATAAAAATTTCCACTGATAAAATCCCTGAGGGATACAAACAATGCAAAAATACCTGCAAAATTATCTTAAAGCCCTGTCCACGATCATTTATTGGCAAAGTCCATTGGTATTGATAGGTTACAAAAAAATCTATATATTAAAATTTGGCAAAGTTACATCAATATTACGTAACTAAAAACATAGAAGCAAAATTTAAAACTCTATTAAAATATGAAGAAATAAGTAATATCAGAGAGAAGTGGTAGCCCAAGACAATAGTCATAAAGATACTTTGCAATGTTACGCTATGGTTCCAATCTTACTGGGAATATTTCTAACATTTCTCAAGTTGTTACCCAATATAAAAATAAATAAAAATGAGAGGAGAATGAAGGTGGTGGATACCTACAAATGCTTTATGCCAAAAAGCAAAAGTCAAAACATGGCACAAAACAGGAGGCATAATAAGTAAATACATAAATATGGATATACATGTATTTTTCCTGATAAATATAATCCATTTCTGGGGAAATTATACATTTATTACATGATATTAACTTATCTGGAAATAGAAATAGAGGTATTTTTAAAAAAAATTTTTTTAACGTTTTATTTATTTTTGAGACAGAGAGAGAGAGAGAGAGAGACAGAACATGAACGGGGGAGGGGCAGAGAGAGAGGGAGACACAGAATCGGAAGCAGGCTCCAGGCTCTGAGCCATCAGCCCAGAGCCCGACGCGGGGCTCGAAGTCATGGACCGCGAGATCGTGCCCTGAGCTGAAGTCGGACGCTTAACCGACTGAGCCACCCAGGTGCCCCGAAATAGAGGTATTTTGACCTCACAATTAGAACTAAATATTTAATTTGTAAATAATGTATTTAATTCTTTTATATATTTAAGATGTAAAGAATGACAGGGGCGCCTGGGTGGCTCAGTTGTTTAAGCATTCAACTTCGGCTCAGGTCATGATCTCGCCATACATGAGTTCTAGCCCCATATCAGGCTCTGTTCCGACAGCTCAGAGCCTGGATCCTGCTTCAAGTTCTGTGTCTCCCTCCCTCTTTGCCCCTCCCCTGCTCACGCTCTGTCTCTCTCTCTCTCTCTCTCTCAAAAATGAAATAAACATTAAAAAAAATTTTTTTTAATGTAAAGAATGACAAATCCTTTAGGTAAAAATACTGGAATGTATTTTTATAGTACAGGTTGGGAAATCATCACAGTACATAGTCCAAGCAGATGGCATTTTAATTTTATAATAATAAAATAAAATATTAGAAGATATTAAGCAAATTAAAATTAAGCACAGGAATATTTAATTAAAGCATGTAAGAGGAAATATCAACCATAAGCCAGTAACAATACTAGTTAGACTACTAAGACCAAAAGCAATTGATTGCAATGTATATAAACAGGCAATCCTTGACAGGCGCATTCAGACACAAAATATGTTCGTCTCATACATGATCATAAGAATGCTAATGAAACTGAAAAGGACGATCTATTATTTTCAGCTCTAATATATATCAATTTGTCAAAATCATTTTTCTCTGATCCAAAATTTTACTTTTCGTTCCTATCACAACCCATAATTAATTAAATATGATCTAAGAATTGGAGTTCTTTAAGGTGCTGGAAAATCAGAAAAACTTTTCATACTTTCTTTCACCTTATCTAGTTTGACTCACACCCTTTACCTCAAAAGCAGTCTTCTTTTTTTTTTTTAAGAAGCTAAAAAGTTATTTTTCCCAGAGCAATTTCTTTTGGATCAAGGGAATTAAGGTCTAATTTGTTTTAATAATCTTATTTCAGTTGCCTTCCCCATAATAAATACATTATGTAATTAAAGTCATTAGCGTTTGGGGGAAGGAAACTGAATGAACAAATGTAGCAACCGATTGGGGACTTCTGATCTAGCGATCGTGTGTGTCCCACTGATGTCCCATTGAAAGAAGGAATTGGCACAAGGCCAGTCAGGGGGTCATCCTCAGAGACCTCAGTGATTATGTCCATACAAATGAGGATCTGGAAGGAGTTTCACGAACCGGTAGTAATGTTCTTTCTAAGTGTTGAGGAGTATGGGAGGGAGGAGGGAGCTGGTGTATCAAAGTGAATATTTAATTTTATACACATGGATTTGTTCAAAATATTCATATGAAAACTATAGTTGCATGACACCATTTAAGGTTGAAATGGAAAACACAGGAAATCACTAGTGTAGTGAACATAGTTTCATATAAGGGCAAGTGCAGGGATAAAGGAGACAAACAGGACTCATATTCAAAAAGAATCACAAAATGAAGTGAAATAGTAAAAACATGTGTCAATTAAATGTACTGTGGGAGTTTCAAATGTGTGCACAAAACAGAGAACCTGACCATTATGACATTGCTGAGTTATAATAGATCCCTCCGGCCCCTGAAGACCCTCAGGGATTTGAAAGCAATAAAGACTCGTAATTTCCCCCAACCATAGGGGTTCTGTGGACACTCCAATCATAGGGAGGGTCTAAATTAAGGTCTCCTGCTCTTCTAATGGCGTATCTGGTCAGAATTTTTTTTTCTTTTTTTTGCTTGAAAAAGAAGTATCTTAAAAAAATTTTTTTTTAACATTTATTTATTTTTGAGAGAGACAGAGACAGAGTGTGAGCGGGGGAGGGGCAGAGAGAGAGGGAGACACAGAACCTGAAGCAGGCTCCAGGCTCTGAGCTGTCAGCACAGAACTCAATGTGGGGCTGGAACCCACGAGCCCCAAGATGATGACCCGAGCTGAAGTCGGACGCCCAACCGACAGAGCCACCCAGGCGCCCCAAAAAAGAAGTATCTTTTAAATGGGACATATATATGGGTGCAACCATACTATAGCTAAGAGATTTTACGGGGGGGGGGGGGGGGGGGAGGGGAGGGAGATACAAGAATGGGTCAATCCACAAGGGTAGCCCTTGGGGGGGGTGTGTGTGTGTGTGTGTGTAAAGAGTGTCAGATTAGCATGACAAAAGGACAATTAAGGTGCTTGAAAAATCTGTTTAAATGGCAGGATAACATTTACATTTTGAGATTTAAAGTCCTAATTATTCTTTTTTCACATCCCCACAATCTTTCTGCCCTAGTCATCTTTACACAGTATTTGCACCTTCTGCACAGATTTCCCTGCCTCAAAGAGAGATATGGTTCACAATCTTCCACTGATGATACAGATTTAGAGACGCCATCGAACACTCCATTTAGCACACCACGCCCCTGCTCAAACAAAGCGCACAACCACACGCACATGCACACACTAGCGGCGGATATCACACAAGACACGAGGTATCCACTCGGAGTGGGAGCCTGTCTTCTTTACTTTGTTACTCACAGTTCTGTATCTTAAAACCTTTAGAGGGGGGCGCCTGGGTGGCTCGATCGGTTAAGCGTCCGACTTCAGCTCAGGTCACGTTCTCCCGGTCCGTGGGTTCGAGCCCCGCGTCGGGCTCTGGGCTGATGGCTCAGAGCCTGGAGCCTGCTTCTGATTCTGTGTCTCCCTCTCTCTCTGCCCCTCCCCCGTTCATGCTGTGTCTCTCTCTGTCTCAAAAATAAATAAATGTTAAAAAACAAAACAAAACAAAAAAAAACCCTTAGAGGGAATGCTGTTCTGGTCACTGGGTTTAGTGAGAAGCAAGTGAGAGAAGTTTCAAAACAATATAACCAGGGAGAGAGGGGAGATGGCAGGTGGCCCTGAGGCAGTTTGACAAGACTGGTGATGTGCCTCTGGTTTCCTCAGCAAATGTCTTTCCTGTTGGTCTGTGTTTGGTCTTATGTACCCTATCTACTATCTATCTATCTATCTATCTATCTATCTATCTATCTATCTATCTATCATAGATCATCTTTTTGTCTATCATATTTCTATCGTTTTTATAAATGTTTAATTATTTATTTTTGAGAGAGAGAGAGAGAGAGAGAGAGAGCACAAGTAGGGGAGGGAGTAGAGAGAGAGACGGAGACACAGAATCTGAAGCAGGCTCCAGGCTCTGAACTGTCAGCACAGAGCTGGATCTGGGGCTCAAACCCATGAGCTGCAAGATCGTGACCTAAGCCGAAGTCAGATGCTTAACCCACAGAACCACCCAGGCACCCCTCCTATTTCTATCATTTATCTATGTGTCTGTATAGCTATCATCTACCTAAGACTTCCCCCCCTTACCAACTCAGCCAAATTTTTGAAGAATGATCCTGGATTTCCTAAGATAAATATTTTCTAAGAATCTGATACTTACCTGAAAAGAAGAGCTATTTACCCGATTTAGGTTTGCTCCCGGGACAAGGACGGCCGCGGCACCGTATGTGAAGTATCTTAATAGGACATATATGCCAGAGATAAAGGCTTGGTCTATGACCTCATGCGCTTGCTGGGAAGTGATAGTCATTTCACCTGTAAGTGCAGTGACAGTGTCTGCTGGGGAGCAGAGACTAACTGTAATTAATCCCCAAATAACTAAAAAATATTTGGGATTGTGGAAATGACTGAAAGCTATTAAAAGTGCTTAATAGGGGGCGCCTGGGTGGCGCAGTCGGTTAAGCGTCCGACTTCAGCCAGGTCACGATCTCGCGGTCTGTGAGTTCGAGCCCCGCGTCGGACTCTGGGCTGATGGCTTGGAGCCTGGAGCCTGTTTCTGATTCTGTGTCTCCCTCTCTCTCTGCCCCTCCCCCGTTCATGCTCTGTCTCTCTCTGTCCCCAAAATAAATAAACGTTGGAGAAAAAAAAAAAATTTAAAAAGCACTGCAGTCTCTAATAGCATCAGATATACAAATACTTAGAAATAAGGTGTGTAGGGCACCTGGGTGGCTCAGTCTGTTAAGTGTCCAACTTCCGCTCAGGTCATGATCTTGAGGTCCATGAGTTCAAGCCCCGCATCGGGCTCTGGGCTGATGGCTCGGAGCCTGGAGCCTGTTTCCAATTCTGTGTCTCCCTCTCTCTCTGCCCCTCCCCTGTTCATGCTCTGTCTCTGTCTGTCCCAAAAATAAATAAAAAACGTTGAAAAAAATTAAAAAAAAAGAAAGAAAGAAAGAAGATGTGTAACTTCTCAGAGATGGTCAAGTAGGATAGGGAGGAAAACAAACAAAAAGTAACAATTCAGGGTTTATTCACATCCTGCGGTAATAAAAAAGAGGCCAGGAACAGAAAGAAGGGGCAGGCTCCTTCCATGTCTCATTTTACTTCCCAGAACTGCACCCGGTGAGGGTCAGGTGACTAGTGCAGACAGGGGATCTCACTGCCAGGGAGCCCTGAACAAGACTCCTGCTGTTGGGGCACCTGGGTGGCTCAGTCGGTTGAGTGTCCGACTCTTGGTTTTGGCTGTGGTCATGATCTTGTGGTTTCGAGAGTTCGAGCCCCAGGTGGGGCTCTGCACTGACAGCATGGAGCCTACTTGGGATTCATTCTTTCTCTCTCTCTCTCTCTCTCTCTCTCCTTCTCTCTCCCTCCCTCCCTCCTTTCCTCTCTCTTCCTCTCTCCTCCACTCGTGCTCTGTCTCTCTCTGTCAAAAATAAATAAAAATGTTAATTTTTTTTTAAAATAAAGACTCCTGGGGCACCTGGGTGGCACAGTCGGTTAAGCGTCCGACTTCAGCCAGGTCACGATCTCGCAATCCGTGAGTTCGAGCCCTGCGTCAAGCTCTGGGCTGATGGCTCGGAGCCTGGAGCCTGTTTCCGATTCTGTGTCTCCCTCTCTCTCTGCCCCTCCCCCGTTCATGCTCTATCTCTGTCTGTCCCAAAAATAAATAAAAATGTTGAAAAAAATTAAAAAATAAAATAAAATAAAATAAAGACTCCTGCTATTTAACAGACCCCGTGGATGGAGGAGGAAGAGGGTATGGGCTAGGAGTACTAGGAGTGCTGACTAGTAAGTCAGAGTGGGTAAAGGGTCTTCACCCCCCCCGCCCCCACATAAGGGAGTTTTGGTAGAGATGCCTGAACAGTATCTCAGTGGAGTCCTGTCTTTCCTCGCACATATAAAAAGGCCTCTGAATGGAGGTGCCTAGGCTAGGAATGCAGATATACACAAGAGCATGGCTGGGGGTGCAGAGAGAACTATGCCTTGACTGCAACTCTGTCCAGAGCCTGCAGTGAACTGAGTATGCACCTGCTGTAGGGAGGGCAGCTTTCTCCTGTGAGGCTTTCTGGGTGAAGTCTCTCTAACTGCCTGTAATTTGGCCTGGAAAATCACACATAGGATTTTGGCTTGGAGTTAAGCTACTCAAGACCGGAATAAAAGGAGAGATATACCATATTTATGGGTGGGAAACATCCTATTAAGATATTACTCTCGGGGCGCCTGGGTGGCTCAGTCGGTTAAGCATCTGACTTCGGCTCAGGTCATGATCTCACGGTCCGTGAGTTCGAGCCCCGTGTCAGGCTCTGTGCTGACCGCTCAGAGCCTGGAGCCTATTTCCGATTCTGTGTCTCCCTCTCTCTCTGCCCCTCCCTCGTTCATGCTCTGTCTCTCTCTGTCTCAAAGATACTGCTCTCTCTAAGGCAACTGGGTGGCTCAGTTGGTTAAGCATTTGACTTTGGCACAGGTCATGATCTCATGGTCCGTGAGTTTGAGGCCTGCTTTAGGTGAGCTCTGCTTCTCTCTCTTTCTCTCTCTCTCTGTGTCCCTGGAGGGATTCTCTCTCTCTCTCCCTCTCTCTGCTCCTCGTTCATTTGCACCCTCTCTCTCAAATAAATAAATAAAAAATAAAATAAAATAAAATAAAATAAAATAAAATAAAAATCCTCTTCCCTTAAAAAAATTCATCACAGGAGCGCCTGGGTGGCTCAGTAGGTTAAAGAGTCCGACTTCGGCTCAGGTCATGATCTCACAGTTAGTGGGTTCAAGCCCCACGTCGGGCTCTGTGCTGACAGCTCAGAGCTTCGAGCCTGCTTCAGATTCTGTGACTCCCTCTCTTTCTGCCCCTCCCTGCCTCACACCCTGTCTCTCTCTCTCTCAAAAATAAATAAACATTAAACATTTTTTAAATTGAAGACAAAAAAAAAATCTTCCTCTCTCAGAGTGAGCCTATAGATGAAATGCAATCCATATTAAAATCCTGGTATATTTGTTTTGGTAGAAATCAACAAGCAGATTCTAAAATTTATATGTAAATGCAAAGGACAAAAGATGACCAAAAGAACTTTGAAAAAGAACAAAGTTAGAAGAGAACACAACCCTGATTTTAAGACTTACTATACAGGGGCTCCTGGGTGGCTCAGTCGGCTGAGCGTCCAACTTTGCCTCAGATCGTGATCACTGGGCTCGTGAGTTCGAGCCCGGTGTTGGGCTCTGTGTGCTGACAGCTTGGAGCCTGGAACTTGCCTGGGATTCTGTGTCGACCTCTCTCTCTGCCCCTCCACCACTCACACCACATCTCTCTCTGTGTCTCAAAAATAAACATTAAAAAAAAAAGGACTTATTATACAAACACATTCATTAGCACATGGAAGTATTGGAATAAATACAACAAATGGGTAAATTTGGCAGAACAGAAAGATTTAACTTTTAGCTCCATCTGCCCAGAGAAATTGGGGCAAAGCTTTGTATCCTGGAAGCCACTGAGGGGGCAGGTGGTGCTGAATAAAACTGCCTCACCCATTCTGCACAAATAGGAGTCACATTTACATTTAGCTTCATCCAGGGAATAGTCCCACCCAAATGTTGCCATTGTGTCTTTTTTTTTTAATGTTTATATTATTTTTGAAAGAGAGAGAGAGAGAGAGAAAGAGAGAGAGAGAGAGAGAGAGAGAGAGAGAGAGAGAGAGAGAGATGGAGCGGAGGAGGGGCAGAGAGAGAGGGAGACAAAAAACCTTGAAGCAGGCTCTAGGCTCTGAGCTGTCAGGACAGACCCTGATGTGGAGCTCAAACTCAGGAACCCTGAGATCACAACTGAGCCAAAGCCAGACACTTAACTGACTGAGCCACCCAGGTGCCCCTGCCATTGTGTCTTTTTGCAGAAGAGTACCAGGGGGTTGACTGAGACTAGTTCGACAAGAATACGGACCTTGGAGGGGCACCTGGGTGGCTCATTCCGTCGAGCTTCGGGCTCTTGATTTCGGCTCAGGTCATGATCTTGCAGTTTGTGAGTTCGAGTCCCGCATTGGGCTCTGCAGTGTAGTGCGAAGCCTGTTTGGGATTTTGCCTCTCTGCCCTTCTCCTGCTCTTGCCTGCATAAGCTCTCTCTCTCAAAATAAATAAACACCAAAAAAAAAAAAAAAAAAAACCCAAAACAAAAGAAGAAAAAGAATATGGACTATGGGTCTGAGGTCATGCCCACAGAGCAAAGTGAAATTGAAAGGAAAGGGAAAATGACATTTTCCAGGATCCCAGCCTCCATCCTGAGCTGGACACACCCATCACATCAATACCTAGGGAGCATGGCTTTCAATAACACTCCAGAACCAAGGGGAAAATAAAAGTATGTGTCATCATCTTCACGATTCCCTCGGGATGTAATGGAACCCACATTTCCCACATAGAATAAAGTATAAAAGTATATTATTAAGCATGAAAGAACTTATTAATTGAAGCAGTAATCCAAAACAAAATTCAAAAGCAAAGCAAAGGGAACTGGAAACCAAACAAGAAATAACTTGTTGAATAAAGAAAGGCTAGGGGTGCCTGGGTGGCTCAGTCGGTTGAGCGGCCGACTTCGGCTCAGGTCATGATCTCGCGGTCCGTGAGTTTGAGCCCCGCGTCGGGCTCTGTGCTGACGGCTCAGAGCCTGGGGCCTGTTTCAGATTCTGTCTCCCTCTCTCTGACCCTCCCCCGTTCATGCTCTGTCTCTCTCTGTCTCAAAAATAAATAAACGTTAAAAAAAAAATTTAAGAATAAAGAAAGGCTCAACCCACCCGCTGTACTGGTAACTGATTGTAAAAAGTCAACAAGTGGGTGTTAATACACTCAGGAATATTTTCTACAATTTTCTATTGCTGTAAGAAAGAAGTATATGTGTTTACGTGTTTGTGCGCACTCACATAAGAAAACAGTTCAAAGTTAAATGAAAACCAAAGGAACAGATTTGTTAGTGAGGAAGAGAGAACCTTTTGAAGGGATGCATTTGAAAGGCTGACTTTTAGGAAGCAAAATTGTTTTGCAATTTTCATTTTGCAATGATATAATAAAACAAAACTGACCTACAGTTGGAAATAAAAACAGATCCATGATATGAAGCAGAATTAAAAAAAAAGAAAAACATGTCATCAAGACAATTTTCCTCAAACATCCAGAGAAATTCTGGCCTTTTATCTCTGATGTGGATTCCAGCTTCCGATGCAGGCCATGGAGGGAGAGCTTGAAGGGGCATCACTGCTGCACTGTAATGAAAAAGAACTTGGTCTGCACCAAATCCATGACACGGGGCTCAGCTGAGCTGTCCCAAGACCGCAGGGGCCCATGCGCTCCTTCGTGGGAGCCAGGGACCCCCCACCCCCGTCTGTCCTGCGGACCATCTTACAGGAGTGCAACCTTTAACCAGGGTCGACCAGCTCACACAGCGTCAGCGCAGGTGAGGGTCGTGCCCCAAGCCCTCTGGCACCCAGGCCCCTGCCTGTGTGGTTCCCCCGTTTGAGGAGAGTGGTTTCGTGGGCTCTTCACCTTCCTGGCTCCCACTTCTAGGTCTGGGGGCCTTGGGGGGCTCTCCTCCGCCTAGATTCCTGAATCCTGAATCCAGTCCAGGACTTGTAGGATAAAGTCCACATTTCTGGCAACCAACACGAGGTGAGCCCAAAGGTTGTGCCTGGGATGGGAGGCAGCGTCTGCAAATGCTTGGAGGTGAGTCTGCGTTGAGGGTGTTCAGGGAACAGCAAGTCTGCTTTATATATGGGGAGAATGCGGAGGGCAGGGGGGCAGGATTCAGGACTAGAACTGCTGGCTGGGCAGTTGGGCATCTGTTCTGAGGGTTTGGGGAACCATGGAAGATTTGGAACAGGAAAGGGAGGTGATCTGACTAATCTATTAACAGGCCGTCTGGGAATTCAGAGTGGAGGAGAGATTTTGGGGTGAGGAAGGAGATAATTGTAGTAGTCTGGAACACCGCTGAGGATGGATGGACCAGAGAAGGGCCTGTTGTCATGGGGGAAGTTGGTTGGATTCTGGATTCTGGGAGCTGGATGACTGTTGGGTTTTGGCTTTGGCACCTACAGAGAATGGAGACATTGTCAACTGAGATGGGGAAGTCAGGCGTAGGACTAACTCTCAGAGGTGGTATTAAAAGTGGGTCTGAGATATTCCAGGCTCTCTGAGTAGAGGTGTCAGGTTGGCCTTTAGAAACACATCTGGAATTTAAAGGAGGGATTCAGTTTGAAGATCTTTGTAAGTAGGTGGCTGGAATATGGAATATGTCTCCTCCTTCTCCTCCTCCTTGTTATTATTATTGTTATTATTATTATTTGAGAGAGAGAGAGAGAGAGAGAGAGAGAGAGAGAGCAGGAGAGAGGGGCAGAGGCAGAAACAGAATCCACACAGGCTCCACACTCAGTGCAGAGCCAGACACGGGGCTTAATCCCATGACCTGGGGTTATGACCTGAGCTAAAATCAAGAGTCGGTCACTCAACTGACTGAGCCACCGAGGTGCCCTGGAATATGTCAGATTTCTAGGGGGGCATATTCAGACCATGGTGATGATGCCATTAGGGGAAAGGATGGGGTGGGTATTCTCCAAGGACTGGGCATCTTGCTTGGGCACCTGATTAATGGGGGCAGTCTTTATCAACAGAAGTTGGACTGTACCACCATGGGTGTGTGTGGTGGGGAGAGGAGAGAGTGCTGGCTAGTGGCACAGGCTTCCAAGGGGAAGTGGTTATGATATCTGTTCAGAGTCAAAGCAGGAAAGGAAGTCAGATGATGCAGAGGTCAGGGTTGGTGCTTCTTCTTCCCTCTCCAGGCCCAGACTTTTTTGATAACTCTTGGTGGAGACAGAGGAATTTCAGACAAGCTGACAGATTAGCTTGGGAGCAAATGATATCTTATGGGAGAGTCATTGGCATGTGGTGGGAACAGATGAGGCTGGGCTTTGAATGAGTGTAGGTGGAGAGAAATGTTATTAGTGTATGTAGAGCACATGTGACACTGAAAAGGAAGAGGAGGTTAGGCTACCTGGGATCCATAGAAGGTCTGGATGGCTGAAGTTGGGACAGGAAGCTGGACTGTGGGCCACGTGGGGAGAAAGACATTTTGTACCTAGCTGAGCACAAAGGAATGCACGCTGGGCTGAAAGCATACACTCGTGGGTCTTGTGGGTAGTAGTCTGTGGGATGAATAAATAAAATTCAATTTTATATTCTCCTCTTGAAAGTTTTCATGTGTTTGCTTGCTTCTTTCTCTGTGTTTTTGGCAATTACAGCACTGCTACTTAACGTGACTGCCATGTTTTCTGGTTTATTCACTGGCTTATGCAGTGCATATATCAACAGGAAGAATTTTTTTGCATAGACATAGGTTTAAGTGTAATGTATAATACCAAACTCTTCTCCAAAATAATTATAATAGATGCTCAATGATAGTTTATGATATTTACTAATGTTTTCAGGGTCAGTACTGTCAGACTTACTGAGTCTCACCAATCTGATGTTTCATCTCCTGATTGCCAAAGATTATTTAAAAAAATTTTTATTTGCCTTTTGTAATTCTAATTTAAAGTGGTATGCAAGAGTTTTGCAGTTTCTGGCTTTAAACATTTTTCTTATTAATTTGTAGAGGGCTTAATAAATGTATTTATTAGTTATATGTTAAGTGTTTAAAAATTATAGATGACTCAATATCCTCTCACTTGTGTTCTTGTTATTTCAATTTTTGTGTGTTTTTTTGATAATAGAAGTGTTTTTTTTTTTTAATTTTTTTTCAACGTTTTTTATTTATTTTTTGGGACAGAGAGAGACAGAGCATGAAGGGGGGAGGGGCAGAGAGAGAGGGAGACACAGAATCGGAAGCAGGCTCCAGGCTCTGAGCCATCAGCCCAGAGCCCGACTCGGGGCTTGAACTCACGGACCGCGAGATCGTGACCTGGCTGAAGTCGGACGCTTAACCGACTGCGCCACCCAGGCGCCCCGAAGTGTGTTGTTTTCATATAGTTTGTGTATATGTTTTGATAATTTTTATATTTGGCTTGAAAACTCCTGCTCTTTTTCTTCCATGATCTTTTAAGTTACATATTTTTATTACCACTTAAACCTTCCTTATCTGAAATTAATTTCTGTGTATGATTAAGAGCAGAGATGAAAACTGGTGTTCAATTTGGTATTGGTATGATAATTGGTATTATCCCATGAATAATTTTTTTAGGCAGCCATTTTCCAATGTTCTGTAGCATCACCATAGCCCATAGATTCCATGAGGAATCTAAATATGTGAGCACCTCTTTACAAACTTTACAGTTTACTCTGCTAGTTTTGAACTTGAATTCTATGCCATTATGCCAATAAGACACTGTTTCTTATTTTAAATTTATGACTTGAATTAATCTTTTAGGAAAATTACTCCAACTTTTTATATTAAAATAAATTTTGCATCTTCTATACATATTGAATTATGACATTTATGAATAGCTTCTCGAATTCCAAAACGGTGTTGGGATTTTTACACTTGTAACTATTATTATCAACACCTGACCTCACCACTAACCCCCCAAATAGTATTTTAGCGCAATCTCTTAGTGGTTTTGCCTTACACCACTACCAATCATGGCAAGTTAGCAAATACTGTCAACGATAGGTTTGTGTCATCTAATTTTATGTATTTACTTTTTAGCCAATAATGAAGCATACAAGGGTATTTTTTTGCATATAATTCACATTTTTTTTTATTCCAAATCTTAGTGACTTGATTTCTCTTACTTAAAAATCCCTCCAAGATTTTTGTCTTAACAGTCTTTCAGAAAGAAAAAAATATTTAAAAAAAACCCCACAAAAGTTCAGGACTGTGTCATGTCTCAGTGTTTTGTTTTGTTTTTGAAGTTTATTATTTTGAGAGAAAGCGAGCATGAGCAGAGAGAATCCCAAGGAGGCTCCATGCCATCAGCACGGAGCCCGGCTTGGGGCTGGAATCCACAAACCAGGAGTCCATAAGCTGAGTCCAAATCAAGACCCGGAAGCTCAACTGACTGAGCCACGCAGGTGCCCCGTGCCTCAGTTTTTTAACACTTTGAATGCATTGTAATCCTGCATCACCATTTATGTTGAGAAATCCAAGTTAAATTGGATTCTTTTAAAGTTCATACTGGTATGAAAATTAATAACCAAAACCTCATTAAAAATGTCGGGAGGTTTCAGCAGAGGCCCTACCACTCCTAGTCAATTCCAGACCGAACAGGAAGAGAGAGACTTGACCTAGCAGATGGATACGGATAGGAAACTTTCCGTACCCCCCATACGGATAGGAAACTTTCCTTATCCCACTCTGCTCAGCCAATGAGAAGCCACTATAATTCAAACTCCCAGTTTATTCTAATGGCTTTTAATTTATGACAGCCTTCCCAACTTACCCCTTTTCTGCATAAAACTGGGTACCTCTCCTTTGTTCCTCGACTGCCTACGACAGTTTGTTCGTCCTGGATTACAACTCTCTTTTATTCCCCAAACCTATCTTTTGTTGGTAATAACTGGCAGCTTTATTTTAAGGTTAACTTAGGTTTTTCTGACTCTAATTTCATGTATTTCTAATTCCTCCTTTCCTAGGAACCACCTGGCCATCAGTGTGAGGGCTGATGGCCACCGACGGACTTCGCAGCAATCCCTGGCGTGAGAGGAACTAGGTTACCCAGAAGACTGTGCGCCAGCTTCTGGGCCACGCTGACCAATGAAGGCGTTTCCAGGAGCGTGCAACGGCCAGGGAGGCGGGACTTCCCGCCTGTTCCGCGTGGAGCCGGGTTTCGGATCCCGGACTCAAGAGGCGGAAGGATGTCTTGACTGTACTGACTAGGTGCGGGTCTGAGGTTCGATGTGAGCGCGGCTGCGGTGGGGGTTTCCCGCCCGTCTCCGCCTTTGGCACACGTCTCCTGGCCGGGTTGAACCCGCAGGGTCCTATGGCGACGGCCGGGCTAACGTACCTGGCTCAGGTGAGAGAGTGTGAGTCCCGGACCCGTGTAGCCCGAACCCCAAGGGGGGGGGGGGTGTCTCCTGATGAATACACTGCAGTCCAGGCCCCTGCCCCTAAAACCTGGGGCGTTCGTGGGCGGGAGCCCCTTTCTGGCCGGCAGTGGGGCGAGTGTGGAAGGGATGAGTGTGGAAGGGATCAGCGTCTGCGAAGTCGTGGGGGCGCGCGAGAGCATTCGGGAGAGCGGGGGTCCGCCCTCTGTCTGCAGGGAGCAGCTGGGCCGCCGGGGTGAGGGCTCTGGGGGCCTTGGAGGGTTGGAACAGAGGAGGAACTCTGAGTTATGGTCTTAAAAGTAGTTCAGGTGTTCCCCGGGGAGAACAGACGGGGGGAGGGGAATGACGAGGGTGGAGGCAGGGAGAGCTTCCAGGAGACCGCTGCAAAAGACTCTCAACAATGATGCTGGGTTTGGGCCGTAGAAGGAATGTAATAAGATTCCTGATAAATCTTAGAGGTGAAACCGGCCGGATTTCCTCTTCAGCCAGTGTGGCTGTGAGCAAAAGGACAGGATGAAAGATTACCCAGTCGTTCTTTTGGCAGAGTGTCTGGAAGCACCGAGACGTGGAAACTGGTGAGGAGCAGGTTTCAGAGAGAGCCTAGGAGTTGAATTTTGGACATGCTGTTTCTGAGATAGAGGTGACATACAGGCAGCTGGAATCTCTGGTCTGGAGTAGGGGGCGAGCTGGCTCAATGATGTGCATATCGTGACAGCCTAAGTCCTGGACCGGGACCCAGCCTGGATCTCACATTTAGGATGGAAACTATGAGTACTTCGTTGAGATAGGCCCCGAGATGAAGGCAGATAGATTAGAGCAGGGGCTGGAGGGCAGGCGGTGTGCCTGCAGATGAGAGGGTCCTGTGGTTCAGGGCTTTCTGGGCGGGGGGGGGGGGGGTGGGGGGGGTGCTCATAGTTTCCATCCTAAATGTGAGATCCAGGCTGGGTCCCGGTCC